GAAAAAGAAAATGATCCATAATTTATTCAGAATCTATTGCTGATTGCGTCCAGTTTCTCTTGATATCTTTTTGTCCTTCCATTGTATTTCTTTCATTTTGTTAAGTCTCATTTTTTTTTCTTTTCCATGACGATCTTTTCCAATTTTCATGACAGATTAAAATATCTTGCCAAAAAATATCTTGTCGGGGACAATCTTTTCAATAGTTCACGATAGATGAAAAAGAACAAATGTGCCGTTAATCAATGAATTTGAAATCTATCGCCTACATCTAAAATATAAGCCATTTTTAAATGAGGGGAAAAAAACAAAACGCGAACACCATTTGTGCATGATTCCTGTTTCATTTCTTTTGTTTTTCAATTTGTTTCTTTTTTCTATTGCCCTCTACATACTCTAGTTCGTTCGTAACTGTAGTCTAACACAGGCAACAATAAACGACATTATCTCAGCCATTAAAGATCTTTGAAAACTGAGTGTTTTAAAAAAAAGTTCAAAATAGACAAAATACACACTTGCAATAATGTTAAACTTAGAACTTTGATCGTTGCTTAATAATAGCATGCATAAAACATTTGATTTTACCTCATGCAGTCCATCKTTTTGGTTTGGAGTTGTTCCAAGCTGTTTCTGCGTTTTCGCTATAAAAAATGCAAACGAAAGGTGTGCAAGGTCTTCAAGYATACTCGTACAACTGCAAGTYAGTCGATCAATTGTGACGTATCCAATCAGTGACGTAAWTAATTAATTCACAAGCGCGCACATTTTCTTTCCTTTGACGATAAAAGATGCGAAGAACTATTGGTTTCATTATTGTAATTTGCTTGCATTACATTTGCATCAGTAGAGTGCAAACACTAAACCCATGAAAAGCATTAGTAATAATACAGCTTTTCTGAATTACGCAAGTTCCTTTGTTTCCCACTATCTTTGTGTATTTGTACACTATATTGCGCTATTTTGCACTATTTGGTTGGTGCTTTACCGCTTCATCCTTCAACTGACACAACGGAAAGAATACTTCATTAAGACAAATTTTTTTTGTTTTTTTTTAATTTAATACTTAAAAATCATTTCTCATTTGTTAATTATTCAGGATCAAAGTGCGGACRTTATAAAAATTTAGAGTATTTTTGTAGACTTTTTACACATGAATATCTTACAGGTTATGGAAAGCCTTATGTAAGTTATATATATTTTAAGAATTTTAACAAAATGGCTAACTAGTATAATGCAAAGATTATTTACAAATCCCAATAGCTAAATATTTCCACAACAAGTTTAATATAAAGTCATTTATATTCTGTATTATGGCTAAACACACTCCATTAACATTGCAGCATAGAGTGTATTCATTATATCCCATGAAACACTTTGGAAGACATTGCACAAATTATATAATTAAAGACAAAAAGTTTGTACAATTTTGTCTTTTTTAATCATTTCACAGATAAAMTAAACACACCCTACAATGAAAGCTTTTAAGCTTAATTCCAGTAATAGTGCATCCTCTATCAAGAATTACTATTGTATATAGTGAAGAAAATAATGAGTTAAAGGTGAATAAAGTGCTCTGACAATTATTATACAAAGAAAGCATTATTTACTATACAAAGACCAGCTTGAATATACGATGGAACCTGTATATCTTGTACTATAAATTTATGATCAACATAATTTACACCATAAGCACCTAAAACATTAAAATGATATTTACACTATTGAAATGGTACCTGATAATAGCAGCATTAGTAAGCATAAAAAGCTTTTTTTYATTTGTATTTTACAGACTTTTTATAAAAGGTAGTAAAAGTGAAATTCAGCAGTAATATGTAATTTTTTGTTGCTTTTACAATTCAGGAATGAATTGAATTTTTTTTGTGCAGAACCTTTTTTGAATAGGAAAATCCAAAGTTACCTACCTAACTTGCCTTTGTTGCTATAAGTTTATTTTAATCTAAGCTATTTGGTAAAAATAAATGGTAAAAAAATTTAAATAAAAAAAAAGGAAAAGCAATGTTGAGAAGACCTAGACACTAAGCTACAACTTCAAAATATTCAAAGAAAAGTGTGGTGTCACTGACCCGATGGATGGATGGTCCATCATGATTTGATTTTATTGAAAGTGACTGCACAGCATTAAACATCTTTGTGGCATCTGATTGGACATAGTGTCCGTCTTGGGTTCATGATGTGATGAGTGATCCATGTGAATATCTCCATTGATTACTGAATTGTGTTGTACATGGTTTGCATGTTGCATGTCAGTGTTCATACAAGCCGCCATGGAATGATCAACTACAGGATACTGTCCGTTGGCTTCCATCATTTCAAGAAGTTTTTGCTGATGCCCAGCATCAGGCATTGGACCATTAGTTATCAAGGATGATACACTAACATTGACTGATATATTGTGAGACTCTACAAAGAAATATAATGAAGTATTAGYAGAAACTACAAAGAAATCATTTACATAGCCTACACTAACATTTGACCACTATATTGTGAGAAACTGCATTTTGAATATGACCTTACCATTTCTTGGTCTTTTTGCTTGTTCATCCATGCTATCACCATCTCTTGGCCGTTTTGCAGGCCTACATATAAAACCTAAACACAAAATCTCTCTCTTAGTTTTATGGCTAACCTTATAACTTACTATCTTATGTCTATATAAACACACAACATGTAACACAACTCCCTAACATCATCAAAAGCCTCTGCAACACTGACAACACTTTTCTGAGGTGGAATCTTGCCATTTCATATATAATAAATTATACATAAATCTTTAATAAAAGTACTACTAATGCAATGCTTCAATGTAAGAGATTACCACCATAAAAGGGTTGCTAGTCAACATGGTTACATCTGCTATTTCACAAATCATAAAATCARTATATGACACAGCAGGAAGTTATATTCAAACCTCCACTGCTACTTTCATGACGTTATTTGATAAAATTAACAATTTGCATTTCTCACCATTCAGACTTTTTAGAAAATGTAAGCACTCTTCCATCTTTAATAAATGAGCTATATCCATTGGTGTCTGTAGGTTACAATTCACAGAACTACAACAGAAATAAAGAAATTCAACAACAATATTCAAGTGTATATTACCCAGTTAATATAGAGACAACTGTTTGAGTACCCTTTCCTTAATGTTTTTACTACTTAACATTAGCTTTTCTTTGACTRTCATCTTACTTCATTGCTGCTCCATAGTTTTGTAGAATATTGAGACACTCTGGACTTCCACCACGCACAGCTTTGTGAACAGCAGTTTCCCCAAGACTGTCCTTGAAATTAAACAAAAACCATTGAGTTATCAAATATCATTCACCAACCAGAATACTACTACCCTGGGAACCAGAGGCTGGATTTACTCG